AAAATTATAAAATATAATATAGAGCTAAAAATAAATATATACTAATATAAGAAAAAAAATAAATTCTATTACAATATTTTGGCAATGTTATTTTTTTTTAACTAAGTCAAACTATTAATAAGAAAGTTAAAAGTCATGTTATCAATATGGTTAATAGCAGTAATAGGAATAAAATTATTAGCAAAGTTAGTAGTGAGGATAATGTTAGTAATGAAGTAAATTATAAGACTAATTATGAGGTTGATAGTAAAGATAATTGTGACAAAATTGGCAGTAGGAATTATAATAGAATTTATAGTAATAGTGATAAGAAAACTCATAATAGTAAGTGTATATTCAAAATCTTGTTTAGAGTACTATTTTGAAGCATATCAATATTTGTAAAATTATTTGTTACACCTTTTAATATTTTTGCATTTAGCAATTACTTTAGGAGAAATATCTTATGATTTTTCTTTGTTATCTGTTGGTTACACATTCTAAAAATAGAGCAACATTGATTCTTTTTTTCAAACTTATAGCCAACATTTCAGATTTTCTGTAATCAAAAAAAGGGTTAGATAATGTCACAATGGTACAATAAATCATAGATCTTTTGAATATGAATTCAGAGAGAAATACAATCCTAAAAATATGTTAATATCAATGTTCATCATAATTAAAAATCTAAGCATCAAGGGTGTGGGTGGCATATAAACTTAAATCTCTCTAAAGATGCTACATGTATTATGGTTATAACATTTATCAATTCTTATAATTATAATCTTCATCTCACAATTAGCAAGTATGGTACCAATTTCCGAGCAATTGTAAAAGATGCATTGAATGATATTGAATTTTATACCAAAAATGAAAATCTCTTAATTGATAAACAATGTCAATTACTAAAAGCCAAATACCCGAATATGGTCTTTTCAGATATGGACCTTACAAATACTATCTGATACTTTAAAACCAAATCTTAAGAACTTGAAGTAGATGCTTCAACTTTATTTTCTTTTCTTACTAAAAAACATTCAGAAGAATTAGGCTGGGTCATCAAATTTGAATTAGACAATGATAACCATCTTATTTGGCTTTTCTGGATAATGCTTTTACAAGTTTCACTGTGGCTTGAATACCATAATGTTGTTCTTAATGATAATATATCAAAAACCAATCGTTATCAGATGCCTCTTAGTTTATTTTTAATTATTAATAACAACACAAGATCTTGCTTAGTTGTATAAGCATTAGTATCTGATGAAATAGTCGATTCTTATGAATGGATTCTCCAATGCACAAAAAAAGCTACAAGTGCTGAACCGATAGTTTTTATTACTGATGCAGATCCAGCTATGAACAGTGCACTTAAACAAGTCTACACAACTACCAAGTCATTACACTGTATTTTTCATATAAGTTAAAACCTTCCTAAAAATCTTAAAGCAAAATTAGATCAGTAACACAAGTTTGTAAAGTTTTTTTTAATAGATTTAAGTGGCCTAATTTAGATTATCATTTTAATTAATTAGTTAACTAATTATATAACTTTTGCATTTAAGGTAACACCTATGGTCAGTTTATTAGTGAATTTTATTTTTTTTAAATATTAAGATGAGTACTTGCGACCTAGGATTTTATTAATAGTATATTTGGCTAATGGTTGCATTACAACCACAGGGGGCAACCATGGGAAAAGTGTACAACTAGCCATTTGTACAACTTTAGTCATTGTCTAATTTAAGTAGTTCGCCCGAAGGTTCTACACTAGCTGCCATACCTGGAACCCACTTGTAGGTTCCCTATTTAACTACTCTGTTTCCATATCCACCCACCTACCTCTGCCTACCAACGACCCTGGCCGATGCTGATGAAAATATGTCATGGTCACTAAGTCTTTAAAGCAGTTTCTTTGAACCTTTGACCTTGTACTAAACCTTCCAGAATCTTCTGTATTCGATTCTTATAGCTGACCTGGTATCGCTATGACTGAGATCAACACTGGCAGTTAGAGCATACTATTAAACTGCTTTTGCCCTTGTAGAGTTCACCCCAACCTCAGTACTGACTTCACAACATATCCTTACTACTTTGGTATTCAATTTAAGTTCCACTAAGCTGCCATTCCAGATAGCCCAGAAAGGTAGAGTGAGACTATACCTTTGGTTTACATGTTTGCTGACATGTACCCTTTTTCTCCAGAATCCAGAAATTTTGGCGGCCTGGTTGGTTTATCCAGTTCCTTTCCAAGGACCAGCACATTTGTTCAGTTTTACAAGTTCTAGCTCTGTTTTACAAGTCTAGTCTTTACAGTAGCACCATTAAAAGTTTGGGTTACCTCTCTACTCAGGTCTTCCAAGTGGGCTTCCATCTCCTTCTATTGGTTTCTATGATTTACACAGCTACAAGGACTTATTGTAAGTTTGCACCACCTGGTACCGGTTTGCATTCCTTTGTGTAACTACAGACCTTGTTCTAAAGAACAATGTCATGTAACCATTACACAAATGCTATGTGACCTGCCAGTCATGCTGGTGTGACACAGATTACAAGTATCTTATCCCAACCAATTGCGAGAAACAGTTAACCATAATATAGGGAGGATTTTCAAATTTTCTGTCAACACTGGGATTTGAACTCTGGACCTGCCACTTGGGGGTTGACAACCTGACCACTTCACTAGGTCACTACACCCCTATTAGTGAATTTTATCATTGCTATAATACTTTAAATAGTATATTATTTGAAGTGAGATGGCAAAATTTATTACAAAAGTTTTCTTTTGCTGCAAATTACTTAAATTAGGTTTTATATCCAAGTCGCCATGCGTGGGCCATGCTTTTACATCCAAGATCTTTACTGCTAGAGTTCAAACAACATCACATGTAGAAGAGTATAACAGCATTATAAAATGAGTATTACATAGTAATAGCAGCTTATATGATTTAATAAAAACCTTAGATAAAAGACTAGAAAAGGAGGCAGAATGAAATCATTTTTTCAAATATAAACTCTAACTAACTGTATTGAAATTACCTCTGTTAGAAGCAAAATGTTTCCTGTAATTAGTCATGTGATGATGGAGTACTTGACACCACATATTCTTTCTGTTGAATATATTGAAATGGCCTAGTATTTGTTTTTTTTTTAGTATTAAGGTGACCTCCTTGGTCTTTTGACTTTTATTAATCACTTATCAGTATTGTGGTTCAATGAACCACTACAGGAGAGTGTACAATTGGCTACATGTGTAACTTTTCTATATTACCTATTTAAGGAGTCCACCCGAAGGTTCTCTACCAATTGCTGTATCTAACACCCCTGCTTGGGTGTTTTACTTTAAACCCTCTGAACCTGTAACTTGTGTTAATATCACTGGTCATCTCAGATGTACCAGATCATCATCCTCAACCTTAGAACTAATTTATCCTTGAGGTAAACCCCCAGAGCCTTTTGTACCTATTTTTACAGCTGACCTAGATATCACTATGGCAGAACCAACACTTGCAGTCAGGGCTAACCATTAAATCGCTATGTTCTTGTAGAGTTTACTTAGACCCCAGCATCTACTTCATAGCATAATCCTGGTACTTTAGTATACCCCTGCCTTTTCTCCTGCTCTTTTACTAAACTCTCAATTCAGATAGCCTGTATAGGACTATGACCAGTCCATCGGTATATCAGATCACCCAATATCCTTTTCCTTTAGTTTATTCTAGCAGCCTGATTGGTGGTACCTCCGAGACTCCCAACCTGAAGGTTCTTGCCCATTCAGCTACTAGGACCAGGTACTAGACCTAAGTATCTGTTTCATCGAGCTAGCCTTTACAGTAAAGCTGTCGAAAATCCAGCTACCTCTCTACTCAGGTCTTCCCAAATGGACTTCTTGTTATCCAATTTCAATAGATTTATATGGCCACAAGAACTTATCTAGTGTTTGCATTGCCTGATTTGTTAGTTTGCATTCTTCTGTGTAACTTCAACATTGCACAGATGCCCTATGACCTGCCAGTCATGCTAATGTGAACATCATTACAGGTATCCTAACCCAATCATTTGTAACAGTTGCTGTAATACAAATATTATATAGATGATTATTCAAATTTTTATCATCGATAAGATTTGAACACCCAATCTACCACTTGAAGGGTTGACAACCTGACCACTTTACTAGGTTACCACACCCTGGTAGTTTAAAAATTAGTAGCTACATGAAGCTGCTATTTATAAAAAATAATTTTTTATATAAATGCTATGACTAAAACCAATACTTGCAGTTAGGACTAAATTATTAAACTGCTAACTATATAGCTACTTTAAGTACAAATAAAAGAAAAACTACATTC